AATTGATGATACGAATGAATTTCTTGTCGATCGTTGTCATCTTCTATTAACATAACAACAATAGCATAGATAATTGGCTGTCTAACAGTTGCCAATGTTAAGGTAAGACTGACACGTTGATTTTGATATTGACATCGATCACCATAATAATTCGGTGGACAAAAACATATACTACTGTAATTATTGACTCCAAGTCGATGGTAAACGTATAAACCAGAATTACAGATTTCAAGCTGTGAAAAACTCTTGACTAATGGCAATTCTATCATTTTATCATTAGTCGGATTCTCAGTAGGATTATTCGGAATCGTATATATTGGTGGATAGATTAATGCAGTTTCTAATGAAAAAGATATATCACGTGTATTAACGACCTGACATGAAATGTACTGCATATTGATAAGATTGTCAAAATCAGAGTCATTACATAATTGTGGATTATTATCACAAAATAGTTCGTTATCATACATTGGACAATCTTCGTTTTCATTGCAAAGATTTTCCTGTTCTCTACATTTTGTGTCATTCCAACAACGAAATCTGTATGTTTGAAAAGTAATATTGTTCACTTGGAGATTTTGAAATTTATCGAATGATGCTCCAAAACAATTGACGATTCCATTAGTGACTTGATCGGCTGGTAAACACATGCATGTGTAATTTTGTGGCGAAATACAGAACAGAAAATGCTCTGAATTAATTGCATTTTTACAATTTCTTTCATCTTCACCATTAAGACAATTTCGAAAACCATCACATCGTGTGTAGGTATTATTGCATTGCCAATGTTCACAATCAGTTTCATCAGAATGATGTCGTCCATCAATCAGCACCATGGGTAAATCCATGATTCGATCACATATTTTATAAAATGGAATATCATCATAGTTTATCTGTATTGGAAAAGAGCAGAAACTTGTTGGGAAAAAACGTAACCGACACTGTTTCTCGTTTGGACATTGAAATTGAGAGGTTTGGTTTAATGAACAACTTAATTCAGATACTGCTTGTTCATCATCTTTTAAGAAACAATCTGATATATTGTCAATAATTCGATATATAGAAATATATTTCGACGAATTTTTACAATGATATAATGATGAATGATGAGAATCAATGATAGGATAATGTTGAGTTATACAACCATCAAAATATGGTTTAATTGAATCGATAATTGATTTCCAAGTAGTCAATTCTGCATTCATCGTAAGATTCATTTGATCACCAGACCGACAAGTCAAAGTTCTATGGCGAAATGTAGGCGTGAGAAAATCGCACAATTGTTCATCATAACATATATAATCAGGTTTAAGAGATAATGTAACATTAATATTGTCAATCTCTTTTGGATGATATAAAAATTTTACATGACCATAGAGTACAGGAATAACCGGAAATTGAAGAGGAAACTTGCAACTTTTTAATTGGTCTATGATCTCAGAAGATTGACTGAACTGATCACATGATATATTCTCAATTTTATCAATAATTTTGGTAAGACAAACTAAACTTATCCAACATTTGTAGGATAAATTTCCTCTAGCACTAATCGATTCAGCTAATGAAAGATGGCGATTATTTTTACACTGACCAAAATCTTCTACACATTCTCCATCACCACAAGAAAATTTACCTTCATTAGGTCGACATATAAATTCTTGACATTCAAACAGATTCAAACTGAAATAAAATCTTTGACACAAAGACTTTTTAACTAAATAATCTGACCTATCAAGACATTGTGCTTCAGGAAGACCCATTTCCAAAAACATTTTTGGAATACATAATCCATTATGGCATCGATATTCATTTTCATAGCATTCATTAATTTCTAAATTAAAACATTGAATTTCATCAATACCATCATTAACACAATCAATTCGACCATCGCATATCTCACGCCAATCAAGACACATTGATGATCCTCCACGATCACATTCCAAAAGAATGTAACACGTTCGGTGAAATATATCATCGGTTAAAGCTATTTCAAAAGAATTTTGCACTAATCTATCTTTATTAAATTCGAATGAATATTGACATCGTGATCCAAACCATGGCTGTGTACAATTAAAGAATTTTTCATTTGATAGATTAGATTGAGTTGCTCGATCAAGATAATGTTGATAGCGTTCAGCCAAATCAATTGATGATGACCACATGAGAATTTCATGTGATGTTATATTCAAACGGTATAATTCATCGAAACTTAAATAATCATCAGATATATTGAAAATTTCAGCCACTATCGAGTTCGTGTCATTTTTGGGACGAATACAATATTTGACTATTTCAGAAAATTCTGACTCAGTTGAAAAATAATGCAAACAATCAAATCCATATTCATCGGTATCATAAAAGATTGATTGTGAACGGTTAGATACCCATAGAAAAAATATTATATATAAAAACTTGCACATTATTCAAATCTGGGATTATATGATAATGATAATAATAAAATAGTTAAATGAGAGATTTACCGTAGAGCTCTCCTAATAAATATTGACAATTGTCTGGCTGCATTGATAGCGTTTAGTATTAGATGTATGACTTTTTTCTTTTTTTTTCTCGATGTGACGTGCTTTGTCGCAATTATAAAAAATCATTTGATACTCATTTTTATTCTTTTATGTCGGAATTATATATTGGTCTTACTAAAATAAATAATAAAATGACATATTGGAATAAATTCAGCTTAACTACGTGTAACTACTTAATTAGCTTTATGCTGCTTTAATATTCTATTTTATTTAATATTAAAAAGACATGGCGCTGGATTTTAAAAAAATTTATCAGAATTTCTATATGAATTGTTCTTTATATCTATGTTAAATGATATTCTAGCTTTGTTCGTTTTATCTGTGTACATATATAAAGAAGAATGTCTGTTTGTTTGTCTGCTCGCTAGAGGAAATGACGCTTTGTACCACCTCGTCATCTTGGACTCCCGTAATGGATGTCTGTTGCGAACTTCTGACGAAAAAATTAGTCTAAATTTTCGCCAAGGATGTCGGAATGACAAGATTGAATTAAATAAGCAGGATGTGGGATGAGTGTGGGTGGCTGGGTGTTGGGTGTGAGGTGGATCTAGGTGGCTGTGTGTGTTTGTCTCTCTTCATTTGACCCACACTCACATCCACACTCGCACTCAAACCCATCCATGCCCACACCCACGCCCACGTATACCCACACCCACATCCA